CAAGTCAATACAGAACTTATGGTTAAATCATAATTACCTCACCTTTCCAACCATGGTTATATTGTTCCTCAGAGTTGACTTACCGCCCAAGATGTCTGCTCTTATTTGTTAACCCGTATGGAGGAAAAAAGAGGGGTCAAAAAATTTATGAAAAGAATGTGAAACCCCTACTTGCAAGGGCTGGCATAGAAACTAAAGTTGTCATTACACAATATCGAAACCATGCTCATGAGACTATTCTCTCTCAATCTTTTGATGGGATTGATGGTGTGGCCTGTGTTGGTGGTGATGGAACTTTAGCAGAGGTTTGTGTCCATCCATTTTATTTGTGTATTTTGAATTTATGAAAATATATGTTGAACAGATGATCATGTTGTTACTAGATGTTGTGGTCAATAATTTGCCCTTTGTACAGGTTTTAAACGCACTTGTTCTTCGTGCCGCCAAGGATAAAGGGATTGATACTGATGACCCCCATGCAGAACTCCCTCAACCCTCTGTACCAGTTGGTGTTATTCCTGGCGGTAGCACTGACACAATTGCATATACTCTTCATGGTACGAATGACATCCAGACTGCTGTTCTTCATATTATTCTTGGTGAGGTCATGTCTCTATATCAAGATTATGAAACTTTGTATGTACCTTCAGTCTAATTTCTGACTTATTCTACATTGTTAACTACATCATACAGGTGAAAGTTCTGGCTTGGATATTTGCAGTGTACACAATGAAAACAGCCTTCTTCGGTACTATGCCAGTATGCTCTCATATGGGTACTTAGGAGATGTTTGTAAGTCCAGTGAGAAATTTCGTTGGATGGGCCCTAAACGTTACGATTATTCGGGTAAGTAAGCAGATATTTTATACATGCACATGGGCTACTTTGACTACAATTTACAGAGATGATTTTTCTTCAGGTTTTAGGAAGATACTAGCTAACCGTGGCTATCGTAGTGAAATTACAATTTTGTCCAGTGATAGCAATTCTCCTATTGATGGTCCCAGATGTTATCGAGACTGTGGCACATGCAAAATTGATGAATCCAGTGGAGAAGAGAAACCTGCTGCAGGTACTGTACTGTGCTATGTAAAATTTACTACATGTTGTGGCCTACTGCCAGTACTTTCTTGTAGGGTTATGATTCTTTAATAATTTTACACCCATACTTTTATAGATTGGAAAACAATTAAAGGTCGCTTTTTTATGGTGAATGGAGTAAACATTTCATGTGCTTGTGCCAAAGCTCCAAATGGATTCTCACCATACTGCCATATTGGAGATGGTTGTCTTGATGTCATTCTTATCAAGCATACATCAATAATTAACATACTGCGCTTGTTATTGCGTGTCTCCAGTAAATCAAGAACCATGGTAAGAATTTTTACTAATGTGTGCCCCTTATGGCCATTGTGATTCTATTTTTTATTTTAAAACTAAAAAGAGTAAAAATTAGTGTGTATGTGTGTAAATGTGCTTTTTTGCTTTAAACAGTTTGATCTACCTTTTGTGGAGGTACACAGAGCACAGGAGTTTACCCTGCAAGCTATGCCTGACCCAAAATTGGAGCTCCTTGATCCAGATGCGCCAGATGCTCGTACAAGTGTGTGGAATTGCGATGGGGAAGTTGTGCAGGGAACCAACATAAAAATTAGGTAAGTCTTCCTTATGACATTTATTTTAACAAATATTTGATTTGTAGTTTTTTCCATAACATAAAGTATATTAAATTTCAGTGCACAGGTTTTATTTTTACTGTTATGAATAATTTCTTAAATGTAATGTTTCAGAGTACGCAGACAGCTTATACGCATGTTTAGTCAGAGAATGGAAGAGGAGGAACATGAACCTTCATGTTTTGTATGTAAGTGACAAGTTTCACATTATTTGAAAGATTACTCTGACAAGGTTTTGGAGGAAACTTTGAAGTTTCCATTTCACATTGAGTAGCTAGCCCATCACATCCTCATTTTTTATTTGTCATTTTTCCTCCTCGTATTATCATAGACCTCAAGTCGAGTGAAATTCCTTCTATTTTTATTCATCGAGTGCCATTTCTTTGTGGGTGATATTTCATCTCCTAGGCTCAAATAGTTTACTTTTTTAAGAAGGGTTTTCATTGGAATCTATTCTCCTCGCAAGTCAATGTCCTAGGTATATCTTGAATGAATCTGCAATTCATGTTCCAGTGCATGAGTACTTAATTATCTCTGTTGGTACAAATGATTATGAATTCATGTGTATGTAGTGAAAGTGGGCTATATTGATATTTTGGTTGCCTGGTGGCTCAGTTTGCATCTCATTTTACATCACAAATATTTATTTTTTTCAAGTTGAGTAGGGTGTACAATGCCCTGAAGAAAATTTGATGGCCCTGTGCAAGTTTACTAGCTTAGTGCAGTATCTATCTTTGAAAGTCTCAATGCATTTGTTAAATACGTATTTATGTCCAATTTTATTCTGAGACTTTTACTATCTATTAGTATTATCTAATATAATTAGCTCTCTTTGCACTTAGGGAGTGATATACAGACTATTAGGATCTATTGCCCTACATTCTTCTGTTTATGAAGCTCAATTTAATGAGACCCTTGGGCCATTCTTTAACACTCCTATGAGCTTATCTCTGGAGTTATTTGCAACCTTTTGTATTATGCTTAACTCTCTCTGAGCATGAGCAACATGACATGAAAGCAATACAAGCTAGGTGGGGGTAAGGAAAATAGGTAAAAAGGTTATAGGTAATTAGTGCCAAAGTTTTGATTTGTTTTCTCTCTCTTGGATGAGTCATTGTCCGAATTGACCTCAAATTCCACTCTCCTCTAACATCAGTTTTTTAACAGTATTTTCCTCCTGTTTTCTCCTTGTAAAAGTGAAAAACACACATCAGTATTTCGCAGTGAGAGTACGACTCAACAATATATTTTCTCTTACTGTTAAATGAAGTATGAACTGGCGCCTGTATGAGATGCTGAACAATTTTTAGTTTTGTTTGTCTCATACATGTTTGTTTACCGAGTTCTGTGGTAAAGGTTTTGTATTGGTTCCGTTACTGTGCAATTTCTTTATGGACTGCAAATAGGAAGAATAATGTGAAGAGAAACTATCTGGCTTTTAAGCATTGAAAGTTCAGTCTATTTGTAATACTCATTTGATATTACCATATTGCATTCATCAATTCAGTAAGCCGTGGTAGTTGTAGGTAGTCTTAGGCAACATTGTGAACTTGAATTATCTGACATATTGTTAAGGATTGCTGCATTGCAATGTTTGTTGCAATGTGTGCAATTGATGTTTGTGCAATTGATATTTTGTCATGGTGATATTATGGTGATATTAAGAGCACTTTAGCAAGTGTTTGTGATAGGGGTTGCTTAGTAGTTCTTTGGATTTCAGGGGATATTTTTCTTTTGTTCTTTCCTGATGTTAAAACTGGGTTTACAATACCTACATTGATATGCTGTAGATTTAATTCCTCTTTGTTTTTGTTTATCACCATTCGTTTCATTTTAAACTATGAATCTAAAATTTAATATTTCACTTCCACATTACAAATGAAAAAAAGAAACATCACTCTACCTTCTATTCATGTCCATTTTGGTTGACGTCATGCACATTTCATTACTATGGACATCTGTAGGAGAAATGCAAACAAGTTTTGATTAAATCTGACCATGATACATGTAAAAAACTGTTCATCGTCATCTGTTTTTTATTAGAAAATAACATGGAACATGAAATAAGGCATAAGAGTTGTGCAGTAGCCCATTTTTTTTCTAATTTGAGTGTGATGATGACAAGCCTGTGGTTTTATTTAGTGAAGGAGCATAATATTGCCACTTATTTGTACATTCCAAGTTTTATGTAATCTTGAGTGAGGTTGTATCATTCTGCTTTCATTAATAAGTGTCAACATTTTATTGATGAACCTTGGAAAATTCACTGCTCTTAGCGATTTAGTAGTATTGTATGATATTTTTTGTATGCATTCAGTATTTATTACAATGCAAATGTTTCCACATTTCATGTGATCGAAGGTGCTTTTTCAGGGTTCAGTATTTTGACAGCTTTTTATTTTTAATGTCAGCACCTCCTGCATTTTATTTTATCTTTTGACTTCTTGTCAATTTACATCGAATTGGCTCCCTGACATGCAGGAGCACTGCCATTTTAGGTTTTTTTCTTATTTTGGTGGAAGATTTGTTTTTATCTTATATAAACATCATTATTGGTTGTGGGTTTAACATTTTTTATGACAAATTTACATATAGGATTACATTAAAGAAATGAACTCAAGGTCTCTTCCTTTCAGAAATTTTTGGAATAGTCACGTGATTATTATAGACCTTAACATAATTATAGGACCTGTAGAATCAAGGTAAAGATGCTCTTAGAGCTCTCGTCCCCCTACTATAATTACTTTGGAGGGTAAATTAGCATTCTGTTGAGCATAATTGGAAGGAGTCTTTTATTTTCTCTAGTACTTTTATTCACAAATGTTAATTCTGAGAGTGCAAAGGATCAAATGTACATCCTCTTCAATATTGGGTTTATTTCCTTGTTTCGAACTATTATTGCATTGCTCAAAGTTAAGAAGGGTACCAACATTTGTTTTTAAAATAAAAACGAGTGATATATTCTGAAATTGATAGAGAATCTATTTTATTTCTGTGTTGTGACTGGTTGTAAGGTTTGTGATGCATGACTTTCCAAGTTTAAATAAATTTGTGAAGTACAGTTTTTACATTCCTGCTTGGTTTATTGGTTTACTGCACGGCATGCCGTTACTTTGCGGGCTGCACTTCCTGAAACGCCTCCAAACGCAAATGGTATTTTTCAAAGGCAACTACACGTGTCGTTCTGCTGACTTTGTTGGGGTGTGACATGGGCCCGTCCGGATCTGAGCCCGCGACGCTTCAGCCACGCCGCGACCAGGACTAGATGCACTCGGATCCGGGCGAGCTCGTGTCCAACAGCCCGCCACATCCTGCCGCCCTACGCGCTTTCGTCTTGCTTTCTCGCGCAGTCAATTCTCCACCACCCCGGACAGACAAGACTGATTGAAATTCATGTTGATATTATTGACAGGGACGATCGAACTGCTTCCACAACTCCCATGGCTTCGTGTAGGGCTCAAATATTCAGGAGACAAGCGAAGGCCAGGGAGCAGAGCAAGCCGAAGCTAGCAGCCGGCGGGCCCAGCAGGGCGGGGAAAACTCTGCGCCAAAGTCGGTCGGCGCGCGCCCGGCCCGACCTGGGGGACCCGCCGGGTCCCGCCCCGCGCACGGGCCCCGCGCGCCACGGGGAGGGAAGTCTATACGGCCACCCACCGCCAGTTGTCAAGTAAGTTTTGTCGATAATTCGATAATCTATTATAGAGTGGGAATTTATGTGAAATGGTGGGGCAGGCCTCGGTAGTATCGTGCGGCCGCGCCCCGCCCCACCTACCTCCTGCAGGGGAGCGTTTCACTCGTGTAGGTTATTTCTCCAAACGGCTCACACCTTGCGGAGACCCCCCCGCCCGCGGATGGTAATTGCGCGAATTGTGTTTTGTTGTACTGCTCGGCGACCACTGACACTCGAGGCGGCGACGTAACTCGTACCCTCACGATGGCGTTTGGGGCAGCCGCCCCGCCCGCGGGGGTCCACTGTCGGTCCGTCACAATCTCTGGCCGACCCAGGTAGGGGGGTAAAGGGCGCCACCCCCCACCCCCGTTCGGCCCGTATCGCCCCCTCTTGTCGGCTCTCAGGAAGCCGCCGGGGCCGGGTAGGTAGGCAACTTGATCTACCGGGTGTCCAGGCCATAGCGCATCGCGCTCGCAGCCCCTGCATAGGCAACCCAACGTACTGTCATGTCTTAGTCTGCAGACTGATTCCGAAGAGACCTCAAGGGGTGCTGCCCCATGAGTGCGACAAGGACGGAGCTACACACGGAAGGCTTACAAGGGAACCCCGCCAAGTGTAAATTCCCGATTTTCATTCTACTTTGGGAAATTGTTGGTCT